GTACCCGCTCTGCCCCCAGACCTCACCCTGGGGCTTTACTCAGCTGGGAAACCCCAGATGTTTTCCCACAGCAGCCTCAAGCAGGTGGCCTCAAGATTTTTCTTTTTTCCCTCCTTTGTAAGATTTAGAAAGTAGCCAAAAGCTTGACACAGAGGTCTGCAAAGCTGGCAGGAAAATACAGCTGACACCTAATGCCCAAATGACTTTTTTTTTTTTCCAAATGGAGAATTAATTAAAAAACACCTGGCATTAACCAAGAAAAGCAGGAGGCACCTTGCAGTGCGACGTTAATCCTGCTTAGCTACTTATGGCTGGGAGCATCTCCCTTCACGTGCTCTGGGGCTCCTCTCCGCGCAGGAGCATCCCTCGAAAGACAAAAAAAAGCCGGGATCCCCTCCTTCACCCCAGCCGCCCGCAGCCCCAGGCGGGAGGATGCACGAGCTTCGCGTTAAAGCAAGAACTGGGTGCAGAGGAGGCAAATGCAGTAAAAAGGGCTGGGTGGTGATGTTACAGTGCCCTCCAAAGGCACCGGCACATTTCCACCGCAACCGTCTCTGCTCTCAGTACAGACGCGTACGAACACTCAAATCCAGTGCAAAAATTCCCAGACAAAAAAAAAAAAATATTTTAAAAAGGTATTTATCTGCCAGCCCTGAGCCAGAACCAACAGACAGACGGTCATTTAACCAGCTTTATAATAAAATACATGACTCTTACCTTCATCAAGTGTTTATTGACCCATTTAGTGAAGGTTTTCTTTTGGACTCTGTCCCGTTCATCTGTCAAAAGAAGACAAAGGCGGCTCTCGGTCAGTGTTTCTCATGCAGAAACTCAAATGACTTTGAAATGAGGGGAAGAGACAGAGGAATCGCCGCCGGTGCCAGGACCGCCGGACGGATCCTGCACCCGCAGGGGAACAGAGGCTGCTTATTCACGGGTTAGTGCAGGACGGGGCCGTTCACGTGGCTCCGACGTCTCGCTTGGGCAGGGAGGTAGGAGCATCTGCACAGCTAGAACCGAATACACCGCTTTTTTGGGGGAGAATAGTGTTATTCGAATAAAAGCACCGTGGATGATTGGGATGGGTATAGCTGCAGCCGGCAGCGGCAACCGAACCCCCAAAATGTGTCCCCCCCGGCCAGGACCTCCGTGCCTCCTTGTCCCCCTCAGGGAGGGAGGTGGGGTTTGCCCGAGCCCCCCCGCTTTAGGAGGGTGTCCCCCTCCCCTGCCCGCTCCCGACAGGCTTTAACGCATTATATAAACCCCACAGATGTCCCGTAACGGGCCTCTGCCAGGCACTAGCAGCGGGTGCAATTAGCAGCTTATTCTGTCGCTGTATTTTTGGTTCATTGGATTGTCAGGATTTAACGTTTATTTCTGTCCCGCGGCTCAGCCGAGGGTGCCCTGGCCAGACGTGGGGGGCTCTGAACACCGGCAGGACAGGGTGACAACGCGGGTCCCGTCCCCCGGAGGTCCCAGTCCCAGGGAGCAGCGGGAGCGGCCACCAGTCCCATGGGGTGACGGGACGGGCGATTCGTGGCGATGCCAAACAGCAACGTGGGATGGGGGAGCTGTCGGCAGGCTTTGCCTTGCCCGTTCTCGGCGCAAAAAATAACATCACATGAAAAACAAAGGCAGACAAGGCGAAAGGAGAGGGCGTGAGACGGGGCCACACCGCTACAGGGTCCCACAGGGGGCCCCGCTCAGCCCCCACCTCCCCACGCCTGGGCAGCGGGGAGGGCTCAGGGCAACCCCGGCAGCCAGTCCTGTGCCAAACGGGCTCGCCTGGTTTTAACAACATCATCTCGGAGGAAAAGAGAGTGCCTCGGTACCGACCCATGGCACGCGACTCCAAGCTCCCGAGAGCTGCCACATCCAGGCCAGGGGTCCCTGGGATAGAGTGGGAAAGGCCAAGCCCTGCTACCCTAAGACACCCCTTTGACATCTGGTGGCCTTCTACGACGGGGTTACAGCGTCGGTGGATAAGGGAAGGGCAGCTGACGTCATCAACCTGGACTTGCGCAAAGCATTTGACGCTGTCCCGCACGACATCCTGGTCTCTAAATTGGAGAGGCACGGATTTGATGGAGACAACACTCGGTGGATAAGGAATTGGCTGGATGGTCGCACTCAAAGAGTTGCGGTCAACAGCTCAATGCCCAAGTGGAGACCAGTGACGAGTGGCGTTTCTCAGGGGTCGGTACGGGGGCCGGCGCCGTTTAACAGCTTTGTCAGGGACGTGGATGGTGGGATTGAGCGCACCCTCGGCAGGTTTGCCGATGACACCGAGCTGAGGTCCTGCACATGGGTCAGGGCAATCCCAAGCACAAGTACAGGCTGGGCAGAGAATGGATTGAGACCAGCCCTGAGGAGAAGGACTTGGGGGTGTTGGTTAATGAGAAGCTCAACATGACCTGGCAACGTGCGCTCGCAGCCCAGAAAGCCAACAGTATCCTGGGCTGCATCCAAAGCAGCGTGGCCAGCAGGTCGAGGGAGGGGATTCTCCTCCTCTACTCCGCTCTCGTGAGACCCCACCTGGAGCACTGCGTCCAGCTCTGGGGTCCCCAACATAAGAAGGACATGGACCTGTTGGAGCAGGTCCAGAGGAGGGCCACTAAGATGATCAGAGGGCTGGAGCACCTCTCCTGTGAAGGCAGGCTGAGCGTTGGGGTTGTTCAGCTGGGAGAAGAGAAGGCTCCAGGGAGACCTTATAGCAGCCGGCCAGTACCTGAAGGGAGCCTGCGAGAAAGCTGGAGAGGGGCTTTTTACAAGGGCAGGTAGCGACAGGACAAGGGGTGATGGCTTTAAACTGAAAGAGGGGAGATTTAGATGAGATCTAAGGAAGAAATTCTTCATGCTGAGGGTGGTGAGGCACTGGCACAGGTTGCCCAGAGAAGTGGATGCCCCATCCCTGGCAGTGTTCAAGGCCAGGCTGGATGGGGCTTTGAGCAACCTGGCCTAGTGGAAGGTGTCCTTGCCCACAGCAGGGGGTTGGAACCAGAGGATCTTTAAGGTCCCTTCCAACCCAAACCATCCTGTGATTCTACGACATCACGGTCCACCAGGCAGAAGCACCCCTTGCTTTGGTTTTAAGCCAAAAATCAAGAAAAGGGAGAAAACCAGCATCTCTCAGCCCAGGCTCCCCAGCCACGCTGCGTGTCCTGCCCGCATGGCCCCATAGCCCCCCTCCCGGGGTGGGGGGTCACTGGGGGGTCCCTGCACCGGCCAGGCAGCCACGGCTCCAGGGGCCCTCAGGAAAACCTCCCTCCCCACGTCTCAAATCCAGGCAGATTTGAAAGCACCATCTAACATCGCTCCTCATCCACCCCACGGCTTCCCCCATCCGAAAGCACCGCAGTAAAACACGTGGCACACCACTGGCACATCACCTCCCCTGCGTCCCGCTCTGTCCCCCGGCCAAGGCACACAACCAGGTGCCGACAACTATCCGCCGGTTGAACTTCGGCTGCCCTCGCTCCCTGCCCCACCAGGCTCTGGCTCCGGCATGGCTTCCCAGGACGATGTGGCCAAGCCACGGAGCCGCCACCTGGCACCACCGGCCGCCGCCTGCAATAGGAAGCTGCGTCACCCCCACGTGTTTTTAGGGACCTTTCCTTCACCCGATCCCCCCCAGAGTCGCGGTGCTGGGTCCCTTCCCAACCCTGGCATTAATTCGGGGTGGATAAAGCTTGAGCCGTACCCCAGCCACGGCGCAGTGCCGGCAGCACGGTGGGGGCTGCCTGCAGGCTGGGAAGGAGAAGGCGGTGGGTACTAACCGATGCAGCACATCCGGCACACCAGGCAGGCACGCAGCCGCCTCCCCTCCCCGAAGAGATGCCGCTCCTCCATCGCCTGAGCCCGGGATGGGGAGCGTTGGGTCCCAGCAAAGCAGTGGCTGCCTCCCAGCTCCTGGGGAAGGGTCTTCTGGCGGCACCACCCACTTGCTGACCTTGGCCCCAAGGGGTGCGGGTGGGTGACTTCTCAGCCGCAGCTCCTCCCAACTGCATCACTTCCTACACCCGCTGCCCCCGGCACGGGCACCGGCCGTTCCTCCTCCGGGGCATCGCCACAAACCCTGCCGCAACGTCAACAGCTGCTTCACCTGCTCTTCCCTTGCTCCTCACCCTTCTCTGGGTGCTCCCAGCCGAGGGTGCCGCCGGCGTGGCAGCTCCGTGCCAGCAAAACCCTCACTGTCCCATGGTCCCAATGGCCAGCAAAGCTGCTGGGAAAGCTCCCAGCGAGGAAGAGGAGAGCTGCTCCCTCCTGCAAGTGAGCAAGAGGCGGTGCAGAGCGCGGTGCAGCTCCCGGCAGCAGCAAGCTGGTGGGCTGGGGGTGCGGACGCAGGCTCACCCCGTGGAGCCGGGCACTGCCCCGCTGGCAGGCTCTTGGCTTGTTTTTCCTCGTCTTGTTTTCCAGTTAATTGCACTGGGGACGGGAAGGACAATGCCAGGCTGTTCTCTCCGCTCCCGCCTGCATGCCCAAAGCTTCTTCCCAAGTCATTTCCCGGGTCCGAAATGCTGGAGCCGGGACCCAGCCGCAGCCCCGCTCGGCACGCGGGGAGATAACGGGGGCCTCCTTATCACCACCTCTCTTCCTTTTCTTCTAAATATAATCCCTCTGCAGACCTTCTGCCGGCAGGAGCCCCGCCGCCCCGGCCGGGAGGGCGAGAGGAGCCGAGCTGCTGCCGGGGAAAGGCGGGAGCGTGTCCCCGAGCATCGCAGGGAGCACGCAGGGACAGGGGCGCGTCACCGAGTCCCACACGGAAGGTCTGCAGCGAGGCACCTCCGACGCCGGACCTGGGGGGTACCCGTGGGCCAGCGGCTCCTCGGCACGCTCCCTCTTCTCATCTCCTGCAGAAATGGGGTTTTTTCTTCCTTTTTTTTTTGCCCCTTCTCCCCACCTTTCGGTGGTTCTCTAACCAGATTACACTTCTCCACCCTGCACCCACGCTATCGTCTGAGCTAATAATAATGCACAGTTACTGCTTACTAACAATATTAAGGCGTTGCAAGCTTATCTCTCCCTGGCTAATCTTTTCCAGAGTCACCCTGATAAGCAACTTGTTGTAACTCCCCCATGCTTGTCCTCTCCCCTGTCTAGCAGGGGTTCGCTGGCCCCAGCCACTGAGAACCACCCTGTCACCAGCCAGGGACAGGGAGCAGAGGCGATGGCCCGGGCAGCAGGCAGGCAGGCAGGCAGGCAGGGCACGGCCAGCAGGAAGGTTACAGCGGCTAGAAGAAATCTGCACCCCTCCGAAGACAAGCCAGCGGCAGGCAAGGGCAGGAGAGGCTGACTGCGGAGCCTCGGGTCCCCTCGCACGCAGGACATGGAGCAAAGGCTGGTGGCAGTGACGCAGGGAACATCGCCGGCAAACGGAAACCCTGCTGCCAGCACCAGTGAAAACCCCAGTCCTTAAGTGGCCACACCTGTGTGCCACGCATCCATCCGATGGCTTCCAGCACCGCTGATGCTATCAGAGCCGCATGCTTCCAGCTGCAAAGTGCTTTCATGTTGCTGCTTTCCCAAGACAGGTGAGACTCGCATGGAGGCAAAAACCTGGACAAGCCAGGCAACAACGCAGCCGGAGCCCAGCTGAGCCACAGCCGTGCTGTCCCTGTCCCCATCGCTGCCCAGGCAGAGCCCAGCCCCAGGGCACAGGGACCACTGTGGGACAGCCCGGGAGCGCTCCGAGACCCGTCCCGGCTGCTCCCCGGAGCAAGCAAGGAGCAGGGTCCAGCTACCTGCATCTCAGCTGCCGGCACCTCAGGCCCAAACCTCT